GGGTAAAACTTTCGGGTGACTCTTACTGTATGGTGATGGAGTGCAAGAGGTTCAAATCCACCCTCAACCCTGGAAGAGAACTTTAGACCAGTCATTCTCTCTCATCTGCTTAATAGAGTCATAAATAGAGGTAACATTGGAAGCAGTGGTGGGTTTCAAAATTTTTTGGAACCTCTTCTGAAGGTGTGGCCTGCTTTCCGGGTCCACTGGTGGAACCTCTTCTTACCGGTCCGGTAGATTTGACGAACCGGTTCTACCGAATAGGTGCAAACTGGTAGGAACCCACCTCTGATTGGAAGGCACATTGGAAGGCACACTATGTACTCTGAGAACTTCTGGAGAAAAGGCAGACTGCGAAATGAACAACAAGAACAGTATTTTCATTCTAACTTTACACATAACCTTGCTTTCAGTAGTAGTGTAAGAAAAACTATTGTATGAACTACTTTCCTAAAGCCTCCATCTCATGTCACCCTAACCATAATGGAACATGCAAGGAAGATTGTTTTTATATGGCCCATCATTACAGCATTGCCTTAATATTATTTTCATTATTTTCAGGCAGCTTCAAGATCTTTTATTTGTTCCAGATTTCAACTATGTTTTCCTTCTTCTTTTTTGTTAAGGGCACACTCATTGGCTTCATAGATGATGTGGTCAATGCCATAAGGGATTATGCAGACTGTCCTGCTGAACAGTGTTTGTTTCTAATCTGAATAATTAGAAATACACGCATGCTTCTGTGGTAGGAAGTTTTATGCAGGAAAAGCAGATTTTCAATAAAGGATTAATGTTCAATAAATAATGTTAGTTCTAAGTGCAGATATTATAGCTGATGTCCTGACACCTCTATGGCTTGAATTCATATGACATGCACTATATTGCCAAACGTATTCGCTCACCCATCCAAATAATCAGAATAGCAATAGCAATAGCAGTTAGACTTATATACCGCTTCATAGGGCTTTCAGCCCTCTCTAAGCGGTTTACAGAGTCAGCAAATTGCCCCCACA